ATGGATTTATCAGCCTATTTTGGGAAACACCATTTTTGGGGAATTGGGAAAAAATTATCGGCTATTTGATGAAATTGGAAAAAAAAATTTAAAATGTTGCTTAAATCATGTATTCAGGGGTAATTCATTTAACATTTCAGCATGAATTCTAATTTGGGCAACCAAACGACAATTAAAATGGACTTCAATGAGTATAAAGCATTTATACAACTTAGGGTAGTACATGTACATGTGTGTATGAGATTTCAATTTAGGTCATTATAGTATCTGTTTCTGGAGATTATAAACCTCCTGCAAAAAATTATACTAAGTACACATTTCTAAAATCCTCTTTTAATATGTATTAATGCATTGAAAATATATATTTCTATCTGAAATAATGCCTAAAGTCCTTACCATTCACTCGCAGATCAAACTGAGTAGGTGGAAATAACTTAATAAATCTATATAATTACACAATATCATCATTTTTAGAAAACGGAGGAAATTCGGATTAAAAGTTGGCGATGTTTTTTCAGTGTTTTTAAACATGTGTTATGACTGTAGCTTTGCTAAATGAGTTAAATAGATGAAAATTACAGACAGTCTGACAATTTTACTTTTTTCCAAAGATAATTAAAAATAAAAGCATTGTTCACCATTTGGGAAAAAATACTGCCAAATTGGGAAAAACTGAACTCATTTTCAATTGGGAATGAGGCCGAATTTCGGTCCATGAGAAGGCACTGATAAATCCCTGTTATCTATAGGTGTATCCGTGTCTGCTAGGTCCATCAGGGTTGGTCATACACTCTCCAATATTACGGGATGAATTTAGCCAATTGAGACATCGCAGTTAGAGAAAGGGATCATGCATCCAAGATTTTATTCACTGTTCCATGCAGAAAAAGTTCTTTAAGTGTGTGTCATTCCTTTCAGTGAGGAATTACCTTGTTACATGACAGAACCGCCATTTTTGGTTTGCACATGTGTTTATTTACGGTCACCTAAATGTTTGTAAAGGTAGCTAAACACAGTTTCGTATGAAATCCGGGGGTTTTCCCAGAGAGAAGGATGATGGGTAGGGATTTTCCTGCTATTTATAGGAAGTGTACTTGAAAATTGCAACTTTTTTGTTTGCATAAAGTAGAGTCTTATCTTAATATTAAATGAAAAAAATATGCATATTTTTTAGGAATAATTTTTTGTGTGACATTTTAATAGTGGGAGGTAACTCTCAAAACATCCGGTTTTCACACGTGCAGAATTGCATTACTTGAATAGCAAGTAATGTAGCTCTTTCAAAAGCTGGAAAATGTACCCTAAAAGTACATAAAAAAGAAACCTGAGGACTTGTTCTGTCAAATGCATAGAACTTATATTTTCTGATTTCTGCGCTGTTTGTTGATAAAGGTAGGTTAAAATGCATATGTGTACTAGGATTAGACACATAAATTACCCCATTTCCCTCGTGTTTTGTGTGTTAAATACATGTTTTTAGTAAGTGATGAATGGATTATACTTTGATATTTATAAAATTCATCATTTTATCTTACCATTGATATATAGAAGTCTATGTAACAAGCCTTCATGTTATTTTTTTTATAGGGGTCAGTTTTGCTTGTCCCTAACATGGTAACGTCGCAATAACGTCATACATAAAACTGTGTTTTGCACCCAAAGATCTCATATATTTATAAGCGCTTATTTGACTAAGATGCATTCTAAAATTTAAAACCCAACAGTTAAGCTGAGAAAATATGTCGGAAAAAGACATTATTTTTATTTTCATGATTGGTTAAAATTAGGGTCGGCGGAATCGTAAACCAAAAGAAAAAAAACTTTGGCCTGGTGATAATGCTGTACATACACCATGTGCAATCCAATAGTGATAACGGTAAAAGAAGTGCTCGTAGTTGACGTTATACTAACGTCATGCGCGGGTCTAGAAATTTTCCAAAAAGGTGTGCATTTGTAAAATTTATATTATAATTACATGCCATGTTTAATTTTTACATAAGTTTGTGTTTTCTATTCTAAATATGACAGGAAAACATGTGAATCGTGGGTGGGTTGATTTTTGACAAAGTCGATCGGGTGTAGGTTTTGAAAGGGGTTTTCCAACCCAAATGCTGATAAAAATTTGCACAGGTTGTGATTTTGGCATCTTATGTTTTTTTTTTGTTTGTTTTGTTTTTTGTTTTTGTTTTTTTTTTTGTTTTTTTTTTAGGTTTTTATGTTCATCATAAAGGCTATGCATCAAAATAATAATATTTGTTGTTTTGTTTTGTTTATGGGCCACCTTTTTTGTTACACAAATCTTTCAAAAATTCTCACTTTAACAGAATTTACATTATTAATTATGTAATATCAGTCTGGTAATGAAATTTCATTCTCTGAAGCCCATTTGGGACTCTTAATTAATTAAGAGTCCCAAAAGGGCTTCATTTTCACCTGAGCAGTTTATGCTTAATTTCAATATGTGCTTCATCCTTGGTTACCAGAATTTGAAGGAGAGCGCATTTAAGGCTAAAAGCCTTGGTATTAATATCTTATGACAGCATCTAGTTTATTATGTTGGTTACTCATGTGAGAAAAAAAGACGTTAAGGAAAAGAACATCTGCATAAAGATAATGAAACATACAATAATAATTCCTGAGGTGAATTTTTCTCCGTTTCACATTATTGGTATACTTAAAACTTTTTTATCAGTATATATTAATTAAAATTAAAATAATTCAAAATGTCAAATCCAAGGCGTCGTATAATCCATCTAAAATACAATGTGTCATAAAACGTATGACTTTTCTACACTTTATTCAACCACAATAATTCCTCAGGATAAATTAAAAAAAAAAAAAAACAAGACATTTTTGATGTCATAGACACTTGCATCTTTAATGAAATTAGAGCTCGGTAATTTTCATATTTTGTGATTGTTCATTTACAAAATAACTTTGTTAAAAATTACTTTGATTTTACACATAAGTGTTCTGAGATTGATATTAAAAGGAAGCTTGGGTTCCTCATTAAAAACATCTTTGTAGTCTTTAGAGGCCAGGTCTGTTGTTGAGGTCTGCAATCTGTTGGAATTCCTATGGACACAAATTGTGCTTCTTTATTAACCGATATTCATATGTAGTGCAATTTATTAAAAACTTCGAATGAGAAGAAAACACTCACTTGTTGTGGCCTTAAGCTCGACATTTAGATATATCGATGACGTTTTATCAATGTCCACTCGATATATCCCAGTGAGCTTGAAATAGAAGATACCACAGAGTCTTACACATTTGTTTCTTTTTTGGATATTTTAATAGAAAAAGACGTTAATAGTAACCTACAACCAAGCTTTATGATAAACACGATGACTTCAACTTTTCAATCGTCAATTTCCCTTACTTATGTAGCAATATCTTTCTCACCAATGGGGTTTATGTCTCAGTTGATGAAACAAGGATATCAACAGTCTCGTTCAAAGTCATCATATGGAAGTTTTATAGTCGATACAATGACCCTGTCAACAAATCCTATCTATCATTAAGTAAGATGCTGACTGACTTTTTTTTTAATACTAAATGTTAAGCCATTATTTAGACACTGAATTGTCAACGAATTTTTCCGTTTTTCCCATTCATGATAAGGAGCACGCGGCGGGTGTGACCGGTCGGCATGGGATACTCACTCCTCCATGGCACCTGATTCCACCTCTGATGTGTTTGCTCTGCTCCTGATTTGTATTGTTTGAATGGACTTTTGAGCTTGAATACTGTTCGTTATCTCCATATTTCATTTCTTCCATTCATATGTCGACTCGATATATCCCAGAGAATAATAAATGACACCACAGAATCTGCCAAATATGATTCATGTTTGGATGTTTACTGACCACTGACGATAGGGCCATCCAACAACTAAATCGTATGATAAACGAGTTGGCTTCAACTTTTCCATAGTCAATTTTTCGTATTTGTGAAGTAATGTTCCGCTTTCACCTGCACATTCTGTTTACGTCTCCCAACATATTCGATGCTCAAGAGCATGCGATCAATTTTTAAAGCGAGGCAGGCTACTGAGAGATAGGTTGATTTTACAGGGATTTCAATAACCTCGTTTACAGCCAAGTCAGCATTTCGTAAATTCAATGTTTGTTATGCTAATCTTTTTAGCACATACAACCTATCAATGTTTCGTATTTTGACTGACATATTTCCTACCAATTGTTAATCCTTTTTTATGCTACAAAGTTACGGATTAACTGTCAATACATAGGATTATTCACACAGGGTTTTGACTGGCTAACAGGAATCCTTACTCTTTCTAGGTACCTAATTACACCTCTGGAATTTCCAGGAGTCTATCTTTTATTTTCGGTTTATGAATATGCATTGTTTGTGGGTGATTGGGATGGATCCTTGTTCGTTATCTTCACCTGTGTTATTTTTTCATGGAAGGGGCTGCCAGAAAATAACTGAAAAACAAAAATATTTTTTTTCTTTCGGGGTTGACAAAAAAGGAACGCAAATCAAAAGAAAAATAAATCTGGCATCCAGCCTTTACATAAAATTAACTCTAACCTTCCTCAGAAAAGGTGAGGGGAGGGAAGACAACACACTGTGAATTGAAAGAGAGATATTTGATGTGCAAAATGTACTTCTATTTACTATTTCATTTGCTATTTAATAGAATAAAGTTATATATATATATTTTTAAAAATTATGTTTTCTTTAATGTGGCACAATAATGAAAAACAGAAATTAATAAGTAAATCACTTTAAAAATGCATTTTGCATTTCTTATCCTACATAGTTTGTTAGTATTCTATTTTTTTTTTTTTTTTTTTGAAAAAAAAACATGGTTAACACTAAGTATCTTTTCTTTTTCTAACTCTTTACCTGCTACCCAACATTTAAATATCATACGGAGATAGAGACCGATGTAAACAACTGTACATAAAAAAGAACCTGATCTTTAAAATATAACTGTTTACAAAGCATTTTTATTACAAATGAGAAAAAGACTAGAAGTGAGTACATCTGCATCGGCCATCGATACAATGGTATCTGCCAAAATGTTGACATCTGCCATGGCAATCATTCACACTCGTGCAGCCTCCTGAAAAATAGGATCATTAGAGGTCATACTTGACTCCCTGTAATAAATATACGTTAGAATTGCAAAAACAACAGGTATGTATATATAAATTTACCGTCACCAGTGGCATCATGTGTACATGTGCAAGCGCCGTCAACGCAGTGGAGCTCGGATCCTGAACCACAAGATGTTAATGAGCAGTCCGCAGGGCTAGTACATGTCTCAGCATAAGCTAAGGTTAACAGAAACAAAACCGTGAATTTTAGTGATACAGAGGTCAGAGTCAAAACATAAAAACAACTAACTTTTTCATATCGTTTGATGGTTCAATGTGTACTCTGCGCCTTAGAAGATCTAACTCTTAGTAACAAATTCTGTTCTATAAATGATCAAATTGTCCTCCCCCAATTTACCAATCGTCGATATAACGTCATTGTCATCATCAGTTTTATAACATTCCAATAAAAATAGTCAAACTAAGTAAAAAGTATGTTTTAAAACAAGGTTACCCACTGTGGTCCCATCCCTGCCCTCTGGGGTCGCAATTTGAACTAACTTGAATATACACTACCTGAGGATGCTTCCGTCTAAAAAAGGCCGATCAAGACTTTGCTGTTCTTATGAAGACTTTAGAAGATTTTTCCTATATATTCCTATGTAACATTTTGATCGCCCATTGTGGTCACACCCTACCCCAAGGGTCATGATTTGAACAAACTTATATCTACAGTACCTGAGGATGTTTCGATATAAATATGACTAATCTGGTTTTGAAAAGATTTTATAGGATTTTTCCTATATATTCCTATTAACACTTTTATCGCTTGTTGTGGATGAACCCTAAAAGCAAGGATCATGATTTAAACGAAATTCAATCTGCACTATTTGAAGATGCTTCCATATAAATATGACTTATCATAACATTTCTGTTCTTGAGAAGATATTTCCTAAATACTCCCATGTAAAACCTTGATTGCCCATTGCAACCCTACTCCTTCTCCATGTCTTATTAAGAACAACGTATAATCTACATTATGTCTGGAAGCTTTCTCACAAGTTTTATATTCTGGTGTAGTGGTTCTAGAGAAAAATATCTTTAAATGACCCAACCCGAATTCTACATATCACGCCGACAGACAACGGACAAATTTGATCAGAAAAGCTCACTTGAACCTTCGGCACAGGTTAGGTAAAACCTTCTGAAGAGGAATGGGTAAGCCTTTTCTTTTGTCATTACTCGGTAAACTACTTTAATATATGTATGGCAAGTTAAACCTAAAACAACATAAAAATGATGAATATAAAACAACCTGTCAGTATGGAATTTTTAAATCTAAAAAGTAACTTTTTGAAAAGACACGGAAGTTTAATGAAATTTTAAAGTGTCTGCTTATTAATTGTTCCGGAAACATTGGAAGGAAAATACAATTTACTGTCCAGTTATTCGATAAAAATAGTTTGATTATTAGTCTTCAGTAGAGAACTTTACCTAAAGGGTTTGAAAAAAGATAAAATGAACACCTTTACCTGCAACAACAACGACAGCGAGAATAACGATAACCTTCATGACGACGTCTATGCCTCAAAATTATGTAGAAAGTGAGTCGAGTTTAAGTGGAATCTCTTATATATGCTGTCTTTATAGTGAAAAATCACGCAAAGTTCTACGATACCGTACAAATACTAGGACACCTAGATAAAGCTTATACAAAATGTGAAATTATCTTCAATGATCGTGTGATATTCTCATACACAAAGTATTTATAGGTAATTATATCAAACTGGTTACTCAGAAAAGTATGATGGTTAATTCTAATGAACACCTTCTTCCTCAGTATCCTCTGTGTTTACAACAGAGTTAAGCAAAAATGTAAAGTTCCGCATCCCATCAGTTCAAATATGGACTGTAAAATATTTGGCGCACATGAGTAGCTGATTAGAGAAAAAAGATCGTTAATTGAACATACATAGACTGTTTAACTAATATTAATGTTCAATGAATAAAAAAAAATTTAAAAAATAACACTTGCTTACTTTACTTTTCAAATCTATGTAATCAGGTTTATGGAACACTGCAGTATTTTATGTAATTTCTTTAATGATAAGATGGGGCTTTTGAATCTTTGCTGTGGTTATTTTAGGAGAAAATAGTATTTTTGATTTATATACTGGTTATTTTGTAAAAAAAAAAAAAAGAAAAAAAAAAAGAAAAAAAAGAGATGTTTCTGCATTATATGCGTGGTTCCTTCATAATAAATATGGCCTCTTTGCATGAAATGTCTGGTTTTCTTCATAATAAAATAGTCTTTTGCACAATATGCTATACTTATATCATAATAAGATGGTGTTTTGCATTATATGCTGTGATTATTTCATGAAAATATGTGGTTATTTCATGATGATATAGTGTTTTGTGGTAAGATGTTGATATAGTGTTTTGTGGTAAGATGTTGATATAGTGTTTTGTGGTAAGATGTTGATTTTGCATTATATGCTTTGGTTATTGTACTGTATTTAATGGCAATTTCTAATATAACTATGCAAGACTTTAACTTTAACTTAAAGGGCTTGATGATTCAAAACTCCTTTGATTTTTAATTTATGTCTCTTATTTAAAGAATTACAATGGCCACAATGAGAGCAAGTATGTCGCATACTCTACAAAGAATTTTTATGATATATGCATATTTTTACCCACATTAAAGTCAAATTTTGTAAATATGTGGTGAATTATATATACTGTATGAAAAAATTGAATGAACAAAAAATATTATAGTTTGAAAGTAAATTATTAGCAATTTTTGTTTCCTTGACTTCACAAACTTAGGATTTCTCGTTATATTTATGAAGAAGACGAAGTGGACAAAATTTGTTCCGTTATTACTATATAATATAACGAGCGTAAACCTACCCCGTTACAATAATCACATATTTTATTGACTATTTTATTGATTTTATCATTCTACACATTAGTTTATATAAGAAAAAGATGTTTCTTGCTGTTGTCTTCAATTCGACATTTAGATATGTCGACGATGTTATATCAATTAACAATGTTCATTTTCATTCATAAGTGGATTCGATATATCTCTTTGAACTAGAAATAAAAGACGCTACAGAGTCCGGACATCTGTTTCATATTTGGATATTTTACTAGAAAAAGACATAAATGGCAAACTATCAACAAAACTTTATGATAAACGTAATGGTTTCAACTGTTCTATCGTCACCTTCCATTATTTATGTAGCAATATATCGCCTGCTTATGGAGTTTATATCTCCCAGTTGATTCAATACGTAAGAGCAAGCTCTACAAACAAACAAGTTCTAAACAAGACAAGCTACCGACAAATAAACTGATGAAACAAGGATATCAGCAGTCGCATTAAAGGTCAACATTTCGCAATTTTTTGGGTCAATACAATTACCTTGTTAGCAAATAAAATCTATCGTTAAATCGAATGTTGACTACCTTTTTCATACACATTTTAGGCCATCATTTCTCAGGGAATTGTCTACGGATTTTTCCGTTTGCCTGATCATGACAAGGAGCACACGGCGCGTGTTACCTGGGGATGCTTACTCCTCCATGACACCTGATCCGACCTCTGATGTGTTTAGAGGTCCATGCTCTGCTCCAAATTTGTATTATTCCAATGGACTTTTGATCTTGATTAAGTTGTTCCTTACTTTCATATTTTATTCAAAATATTGAGTTGGAGCAGACCTGCGCTTGGTAACTTTTAATCAAAATATCGACGAAAATTACAATGTTTACTGTTAAAATCATAGAAATTTTGAATTTTCGTCATTGACGTCATATCATGGCTGATGAAAATATTTGATGCTTTGAAGTCTGCAAATATCCCTCCTAATTTAGAACATAAATATAGATTTTCCGTCAAAGTTTTATTTTGGGGGCAATTTTGTCATTACGGAATAAAGTTCTTAAAATTGTAACATGAAATTTCAAATTTTGACTTAAAAGCTTAAAGTTTTATTTTTAAAAAAAATTCTTAATGAAAAAAAATTGACAAGCACATCATATCATGCAAAACTATCAACTCATTATGAGAAAACCAATCATATCATGCAAAACTATCAACTCATTATGAGAAAACCAATCATATCATGCAAAACTATCAACTCATTATGAGAAAACCACATCATATCATGCAAAACTATCAACTCATTATGAGAAACCACATCATATCATGCAAAACTATCAACTCGTTATGAAAAAAACACCGCTCATAATGCAAAAGCACCATCTTATCATGAAATAACCAAGACATTTAATATAAAATTTCATCTTAAAGAAAGAACCAAGGTATTTGATCTCATTCCATCATCTTAATCGTGAATTAATTAAAGCATATAAAATCTACATCTTATCATGAAATAACCAAGGCATTTAATATAAAATATCATCATAATAAAATAACCAAGACATATAATGTAAAACCATCATCTTACCATAAGGTAATAACAGCATATAATGGTAAACAACAATCATATCATCATATTTCCGAGCCGTAAAATAGCAAAAGAAGAATATAAATCAGGCCGGTAACAACGGTTTCAAAAGTGGGATGGGGGTGAGGGGGGACAACTTCAAAAACTATCTGACAAGCAAAAACCAAAAACCAAAAAAAAAAAACCTAAACTGACCAAAAATGCGGGACAAACTTCCCAAATTATCTTACAAGCAAAGAAAAAAAAGCTAATTTACTGTCCAAATCCTTGAATTTGCTAGCGCTTGACCTTACAACATCAAAAAGTGGGGGGGGGGGAGCATCCATCTAAAGGAAAATTTACTATTGCAAAATACTATACTCAGAAAAAAGTGGAGGGGGCCCCTTGCGTTCTACGGGCCTTTAAATATCATAAATCAAATTATCAGCAATTACTTTCCAACTTTCCATATGTTTAAATGTTTAAATTCTTTTTTCATTAATAACGTTACCATCGTGAGAATTTCAGATTATTTCTTTGTCTTTACAAAGTATTAATTTAAAATGTTTTTTTTAATTCTAAACTCTTGCAATAGATGAAGTGAATGTCGAAGGTTTTAATGTACTTGATAATTATATACCGATATTAGATGCAGAAATGTAGCTCTCAGAATATATATATATATATATATATATATATATATATATATATATATATATATATATATATATATATATATATATATATATATATATATATATATACAGAGCGGAGGTCTATGCTCGTCCATCCCAATGTTTTCAGACCAGCGAGCTGCAGATCTGCAGCTAATACAGATAAGACCCGTTCAGTATATAAAATATTCGCATCATGCAGATAAGAAATCATATTATTGCAGCCCGGAGGACCTGGATGCTCTACACATATAAGTTTAAGTTTTGGTGTATGGGATTGAGGTGGGAAAAGTTATTCAGAACTAAAGGTTAACTATACATTAAAAAGGTTATACATCAGAATGTTCTTTCCCTTTATAAATTACGAGATACACAATATATTCACTTCCATGAAGTACATCGTTAAAATTATATATGTTTTTCATATGCAATATACAAAGTTGCTTATCATTTACTATCGACAAAACGACAGGTCCCTTTATTTAGAACATTGAATTTTACTTCTGCATATAAACGTACGTTACACAGTTTGTGTTCTACATTCATTAAAGAGAAACCGTGACGGAAAAACGGGAAAATTGACAAAAGTAGAATTTTTGCAAGACACATGCAAATTTTATTCAATTCTTGAAAGTATTAGGTTTCAGAAAATTGCAGGTTTCAGAACCTAAAAAATCTACTTTTATGGAAAAAAAATATAAGTAAAAATAATTTTAGTTTGCCCCAACACGAAAATATTGCTGAACACTTCTTCCTCTTAAGGTACGCATGCGCAGAAAAGTTGAAGAAGTTACCATGGTGTCAATTCCACGGATATAAATATCGGATGACCGAGGATTTTGATATAATCTTCAAAAAAGATGATCAGAACTTATTCTTCACTTTTGATTGCTCCAATTCAATGTTGTTTACAAGTAAAGACACATGACCTTGACATTGCTGTCATTGACGACAACAACCAGGCCATAGATAAAACTTTTCTTTTTCCGGCACTTACATTCTGCAGTCTTTTCTTGCTTTTACCGTGCAGTTGAGATCTCAGAACTTCGCCTTATTCATATTTCTCATAAATCTTTAGCTTTATGATAGAATTATCTTAAAAGAAACACATGATATTGACTCACTGTGTAACTTTAAGTCAAATATATTTTGGTTAATAGTACATGTGTCTGATTCTAATTTATATTTTATGCAGCCAACAGTTATTTGAGGAAATGATAAAGTTTAAAACGGTATCGTTTTTGTTCGATTTTCATTCGATTAGAAGCTTTCCTTAAATCTTCTCGATTATAGTCTCGATCATTCAAAAATCGAAGCGGTTTGATGACCAAGATTTTACTTCATTTATTTCCCGGGCGACATTAGATAGTTTTCAGTAGGTCTAAATTAGCAATAGATATTTCCCGTTGGAAGTCATATTGTAAGTCAACATGCTCATATCCCTTCATTATTCAACCAACTTTAACTTTTTATAATGGCCATTGTGGGTAGGAAGCATTGTTCCTATGAAAATATACATTTATTAAAGCCTCCTTTATTTCATAATTTTTATTCTATAAAGATCCCCCCCCCCCCAAATATTTCTACTACACCCTCTTAAATTTGGTAAGACAAAGCGGAAAATTTACCAGGTTGACACCAAGATGGTGGCCAAGGAAAATAACTCGGTGAGAAATAAGTAGCAGTAAATTTTGCATTGATTGACAATTGGATTTATATTATGATCCGGAGAGAAAATAGAACATTTGGCCTATATTGATAAAGGTTAATGTCGCATAGGGCATAAGTGAATCATGGGATAATACCATCTGCAGGTGTCACATGTTTAGGTGAAAAAAACCAATTCTGGAAGATTGAAGTGAATGTCGAAGGTATTAATGTACTTTATAATCAAATTCAGATATGACCTCGATCAGTATATATATATATATATACATACACACATACATACATACATACATACATACATATATATATATATATATATATATATATATATATATATATATATATATATATATATATATATATATATATATATATATATATATATATATATATATATATATATATATATATATATATATATATATATAATAGTGTACTGTAGGGCAGCGCCACTAGAATTCAATCGGCATCGAAAGCAAGTTTTATGACTTGCCTAGGTAGCCGAGCGGTCTAGCGCGCTGTCCCTGTACTGCTAGGAGACAGATTCCGTAGGTCGAGAGTTCAATCCCGGGCTGGGGCGGAAGTGGGTATAAATATATATATATAGTAACCTTTAATTGTTATTGGTATGATTGTCTTTTTTTTTTTTTTTTTTACCTTTTTGATAATTGTTTATTCCCTGGTCCTTTATGCAGACTTATGAATATCTTTTCATTTTGAGAAAGATATCTAAATACATTTAAAGTTTTGATTTTTCATTGGCTATGTTACAATTGTTTCCATTTTATGAAGAATTTGGGAATTCAAAATTAGTGAATAAAATTCATTGTTCGTTTAAATTGAATATATATCTCACATAACGTGATTGATAAAAAAAAGTAAAATTAGAAATATATAAATATATAATATATAAAATAGAAAATATTACTTGTACTACATTTGGTTAGAACAGAATTGCGACTGTCCCACACAAAGTGTCTGCTCTCATTTTATAGCTCTATTTTGAAATACAAGGTTATCGGCCACTCCCACAGTCTTGTATTCAGGAAAAGTTCAGATAGGAACAAGTACAAATTAAAAAAATATATACCTTTTATATGCTAGCTGGAGTCATTAATTTTTCCTTGTTACAAAAATGAACATATCATTATCATTATCAAATTGAATATTAATTTAATAGTATCTTAATGGTTGTTCCTTTCTGGAAAGTGGGGTTCATTCTCAGCAAACCACATCGTCATTCGAAAGGAGTCGTGATTCAACTGGAAGGAATTAATTTTTTCCTGATTCAACAAAAACCTTAAAGGATCTCAATTTCACTGCCGTCAAAAATAAAATATATCCTTAGAAGATCTAGCCTAACCTTTGATCAAAGGGAGCAGCAACACAAAAGTCTGAAGGCACCCAACGTTACTTTTGTTTGTTTGTTGTTTAAAGTCCCTCTCGAGAATTTTTCACTCATATGGAGACGCCACCATTTGCCGGTGGAGGGGCTACAAATTTATACCTATACTCGGCACTCAAAGCCATTGAGCAGTGAGGGATCTTTTCCGTGACAATTATGCGGTCCCATCCGAAGGACAGGTCTCCAGGTCCCGCAGTGGATTTGAACCCGCGACGTAAGGATTAGCTCCTTACTCCGGGACTCTAGAGCAGACGCTCTAACCAGTACGCCACGCGGGCGACACGTTACTTTTGAAATGTAAAACTGAATCTAAATCATTAACTATCCTTAAGCAATAGTCAACAACATATTTCAATCAAAGGTTTCAATTTTTAAATTAGTTATGATGTCAACAGCACAATGTACATCCATTTAATTTTTAAAATATGCCTTTGAATCAAGACCATGAAACCCATTTAAACTTTGAAGGTTAATATTCTAATGTTTGAATTCTTCAAGAGTTCTAATCTTAGGACTCGCAAAGAATTCTGATAAACAGAGGAATAGATTCACACATGCAGATTTGTATTTTAGCAAAAAAATGTCTTTATTCGGTTTGGGAGACATAACTGGAAGGTAAAGCTATTAAGTTGATAACGATCCCAGTTGGGAGTTAGTTATATTTTATTGAATGAGAATATTTAGTGACTGCATCTACAATGGCCGTCGATACAATGTTCACGATCATGAGTATGAGTACATCTCCCGTGACAATCATGTACGTTCGTGCATGGTTCTGGAAAATACAATTGATGTATTTTTCATATTCTTAATATTCTAATTAAATTAAAAAAAGATTAAAATTTGTAGTTTTCCTATTAAAATTTATCATACGTAATATTCAGAGTTTACGAAAAGAAGAAATATTTTATTTACCTCCACCGTTGGCTTCATGAGTACACGTGCACTCCCTGTTAACGCAGTGAAGCTCAAATCCAGTAGAACATAACGTGTTGGTACAGTCCGCATGGCTGGAGCAAGTCTCCGCATATGCTAAAAAGTAAGAGAAGAGAATGAATGTTGACAATGAGTGGTAAAAATATTACATGATGCGTGAAATTTTATTTACTTTTTGTTCCTCAACTAATGTCTATCGCCTGTCTGTTCAATAGAAAAGACAACATTTTCTGCAATGGAATCTAAAGAAACCTGTGTTGAAATGCATAGTTATGAATTTGATATTTTAGGTCAGTTCATAGTATACGAAAGAAAAAAATTCAATTCCATGTCATATTTTCGTTTTTCATCTTCTTTGGTTAATCGGTGTTATGCATAATTAAACATTGCTTAAAGTGGTTTAAAAACCGTTTCAGATTTCATCCTGGTACATATAACATCAGGTTTAATGTAAAGCTTTTCTTAAAGATTTCATGAAATTGCTGAACTTGCAGATAATATACAAGTGCAACTTTGCAAATAATTCGCGAAAAAAATACAAATGCCATTAATGTATTCAAGTTCTTTCAAAATGTTTTTAATATGTACATAATTTAAGTGTAAAATAGATTTTGCAGCGTTGCAGTTACAGAAAATAAAGATGACTAAATACTTGATAAAATAGTACTATTAAGTAAAACAATTTGTTTTAAAGGTTTGTTTAAAGAAACCATATACCTGCAACAACACAGACAGCAAGAATTAAGATGGTTCTCATAGCTATATATGTTCGAATCAGAAAGTAATCTGAGGACTATGTCTTGTGTTAGATTTGTTTGCACCCTATATATATATATACAGCTAAGGAGTTTAAAAAGTCAAGGATCATTGATAGAGGACTAAAAGTACGCTGTACTAAGACAAAAAAAGAACACAAAAGGTGCAGTCATCTGCATATTGGCGTGTTGTTCCCAGAAAACAAAATCAAATGCATTATGTATATCGACTTGTTCGTGCAAAGAAATAAATGTCTTCTCCTTTTTCCTTTACTTTAGGAATATTAAATATATAATACAAGCTAGAGTAATTTGAAGGTATTACAACATATCTGGGTTAACGAATTCCAAGGAAAAGTAATACAAATAAGTATTTTAACTATCAATCTGACAAAGTACAACTTGGATAAGTATTCCGAATTGGCTGAAAATAAATAAATAAATCTAATCAAATGCACGTTTTTTTTTTTGAGAATATTTTAATATTATAAGTGTATCGTAGTGCTTAAAGTGCTCGTTTTCAAACATCAATGTAAATATTTAATTAATTAGACGAGTGAAGAAAGGACAAGTTAGATAATTAATGACCATAAAAGGATAAGGGTGAATTCATCATTCTTTGAAAACACAATTTACAAAAATAATGCTATTTTGCATCATATACGCCATAATTGTACTCTTTTGAAAATTCCAGATATGCACACTCTTCCTATTTTGATATATTTTCAATAATGTTAAATATTAATGTAAATGAAGGTTCCATATTTAGAAACAGACCACGTTCAACACTGAACTACATGTACTAGTATTTTTACCTTTGATAGGTGAAAATTTTATCAGAAATTGTATTATTTTACATATGTACTGATATTCATGGTTTCTTTTATGGATTTAAAAATCGTTTTGAAAAAAAAAATCTTTTAAATAATATCTGCCTATTCATTAGTCAAGGAATAAAACTTGTACTTTCTTTGCAAAAACATGACTTATTTACAACAAATACACATCCAAAATGTATACGCTAAAATTTTAATCGCTAAATTTGCTACCGTGCGTATGAGTACTGAATACAACAAAAATAACTTTGATGTCTGTTTTAAAACATTATATCTTTCATCTGACATTGGTTTACTCAAAGTCTTGCGTAAATTGTTATTAAAACTTACATAAAACTCATCTAGAAGATGAGCTTCTCTTTTGTAGCGTCATATTACTCTGTGTACTCCAAAAAAAAAAGTTTCGCCAAAATTACTGGCATACATTTGCAATCAAACTGCTAAATTTTACACGCACAACAGAAACCTGCTATATGGTATCACATCCTAAAGGACCTACTAATTAATTTAAAGTGGACAAGTAGCTAATTTTATTCGTCACAAAAGTTCAGGCTTCCTTAAGACAATACTTCAAGAGGCAGTGTAGTGTTCTTAAAGTGGAAAAGTAGCTAATTTTATTCGCCGCAAAAGTTAAGACTACCTAAGAAATACTTTAAGGGGCAGTGTAATGTTCTTAAAGTGGAAAAGTAGCTAATTTTATTCGCCGCAAAAGATAAGACTACCTATGAAATACTTCAAGGGGCAGTGTAGTGTTCTTAAATACTTAAAAACTTTATGATTTTGATCACTTTTCATTATCTTCACCCTTTAATCAGTAAAGTTTGTAACAACAGTGACTGTCAGCTATCATCCGCAACTGTACTCGGTAATGCTGGTACCGGACATCCATGACTGTACCTGCTCACTAATATCAAAAACGGAATGTCAGAGCAAGATTTTCCGGATTGTTCAACGTATTTAACTATATGTTGTTAATTAAGTATGGATTGTTTTTTAATGAAAAATACGAAATGTGTTAATATGGAGGAAAGAAAATTTCTGATTTTAAATAAATCTACTTTATGGAAGGCTGTAATCGCCAAAACGGTAACGATAACTGGCTTAGTGAATATATCGAGGAAAATAAATGTAAACTTGACTATGCCTAAATCCATTGCATGGATCGCTATAATCTCTAAAAAGTAACATTTACTACAGCGTACATTTTGTATATCTATGACTGTATACCTGTGCCTGATATTCAACATCTGCGACTGTACCTGTGCCGTACATACACACTACCACTGATTCAACCCGTGCTTGATTAATAACATCCACGACACGAAATTCTGTGGATTTTCTCCGATTTAGATTTAGACTGAATTCAATCAAAGAGCAATTAACGCTAATCTTTATATTACCCATGACAGTGATACCGAGACAAACGACGTCAGCAGTGATTAGGGAAGGATCCAAAACCTTTACAGATTTAAAATTAAAGCTTTAAAACTTTATGTTCAGAGAACAATATGAGCCAGGTCTTTAATTTTTTTTTTTTTTTTGGGGGGGGGGGGGGGGAGGGGGCATGATTTCAATATCCTACGTGCTCAATAATAATGATGAATTAAAAATGAAACATGCTTGTATAATTATTGAAAAGATACGAGTAAACATTAAACAAAGTAAAATAAGAATGGAAATTAAAATAAATATTGGAATTAATTTGTAATCCTTAATTTTATGTTAGAAGTATAAGTACGTCACAATATTATTAATTTCACCCATTTCATTGATCACGCAAGTAGTGTCAATGAAAAACACAGGTTTTTCCCCATAAATATATGTCTTACGATATATACGGGTGGAATGGGCTGATCCACGCGTTTTCAATGTGTTATATATAAATATCTCAAGTGCACCCCAGGAAGTAGCCTCCTATGCCCTGAAAAAGAATAGTTCCTGACAAAAAAACCTTTATTTATTTACAAAGTACATAAAATTTACTAGGCACAGGTATCAAAGTTGTAAAAATAGGCTGGAAGACCCCCCCCCCCCCCCAAAAAAAAAAAAAAAAAAAAAATTCTCAAAAGAAATAAAAATTAATTTTATATGCATGGAACAATTAACATCTTGACTAGTCGATAACCGTGGTGTGATACCTGAAATACGCAGGGTATGGTATTAAAATAATTGATCGTATTAAAGGAAATTAATGCTATAATTATCGATAACATCCGAAGAAAATATTTTAATAAGTAAATATTTTTATTAGATCCACCTCTCTAAGATTTTGCAATCAATTGTCTGGGATCAATCTATAGGGAATATCGGTGAATAGCGTTAATAGCACCTCTATTGAGTTCAGCTCAAAGAAAATCGTAAGGAATTTCTTGGGGATGCAACATCCGAAAACTGTACCTGTCCGGACAACTCTAAAAATTTTACACAATGACTGTACCGGTGCCTGATTGACAACATCCACGACAGTACCTGTCCAATACACACACTTTATTCTACATCCATGACTGTACCTGTGCTTATAAACAACATCCATGACTGTACCTGTCCAGTACACACACTTTATTCTACATCCATGACTGTACCTGTGCCTTATAAACAACATCCATGACTGTACCTGTCCAATACACACACTTTATTCTACATCCATGACTGTACCTGTGCTTATAAACAACATCCCTGACTGTACCTGTGCAGTATACATCGCTTACCCTACATCCATGACTGTATCTGTGCCTTATAAACAACACCCACTGCTGTACCTGCCCTGACAACTCTAAAAATATATCACCATGACTGTACCGGTGCCTGATTGACAACATCCACGACTGTAAATGTCCAGTACACAAACTTTATTCCACATCTATGACTGTACCTGTGCCTTATAAACATCATCCACGACTGTACCTGTTTTGTATTCATAATTTATTCTACATCCATGACTGTACCTGTGCTTATAAACAACATCCATGACTGTACCTGTCCTTCATTCACACTTTACTTTACATCCATGACTGTACCTGTGCCTTACAAACAACATCCACGACTGTACCTGTCCAGTACTTATACTTTATTCTACATCCATGACTGTACCTGTACCTTAAAAACAACATCCCTGACTGTACCTGTGCCTTAAAAACATCATACACGACTGTACTTGTTTTGTATTCACACTTTATTCTACATCAATGACTGTACCTGTGCCTTATTTACAACATCCACGACTGTACCTGTCCTGTATTTATACTTTATTCAACATCCATGACTGTACCTGTGTCTTATAAACAACATCCACGACTGTACCTGTTGTGTATTCACACTTTATTCTACATCCATGACTGTATCTTTGCGTTATTAACAACATCCAAGAAAAGTTATTCAACGGCCTACTAAAAGTTTGTTCTTTTGTCGTTTGTGACCCGAACCCCCACTCCCAATGCAACCCTCACCCCATCAAAAGTAATTGAATCATATGACTACAAGAAAGCGTGGGATTTAGACTTTTGTTTTTAAGAGGAAATACTCCTTATTTCGATACACCCCATCCTCGCCTTCACAGCTTCTGCCAAGTTTTATTATTATTGTAGAAGAGTTTATAAGTAATGGATTAATTATTTTAAAACCAGTGTCAAAAAGTTAACTGCTCTTATTTAAAACTCTTCTCATAAAGAGGGGGAATGGTTAGACAATTTTATAAATTGAAATCGGGCTTTAAACATAACGAGTGAACCAGATTTTCAAATACTCATGGAAATGGATAAATAACCATCAAATCTCTCTGTATTTTTAACTTATGTAAAAGTCAACTGACATATTAGATTCATTGGCAATAAAATGACTATTTTTGCTGCTTTTAGTCTGTAAACATATGTTCTACACCCTCATCCACCCCCAACACCCCAACAACCCACTCCCCTGAAACAACAAATAATTGGTATAAATTTGAATTTGTGAAATAACAATTCATAATACTTGAAAAAGGAATTGTTGTTTCAGTGAAGGGGGGGGGGGATAAAAATATTTTCCGTTGATTTCTATAGAGATGAAGTTTTGCCAAAATTATAGACTTATCTCTCTTTGTTTTCCCAAATAAGTTATGATTTTTGATGAAATTCACATAAATATTCGGTATATAAATATGAAAAATCATCCCAATATGTTAACTTTGT